AAGTCGCTGCAGTGTACAAATCTGCTGGGACAGGGCCCTGCTTCTCCTTTCATATTCAAGGTCAAAGCAGAGCTGAACCCTGATACTGTTGCTACCTGCACAGCTCTCCCCTCTCCTCCCTGCCCCTTCATTGCTACACCCACATCCCTTTACATTCGTTCTTTGCTCCATCCACTGTTGCCTCTGGCCCTGCCTACCCTAGCATGTGGCTCTCAGAAGCTTGCCCTCTGTCTGAAAAACAGATTCCTTCCCATGGTCTAAGAAGATGCTCTAACCTGTAGCTGGGCCAGTGGCAGTTCTCTGCAATTGCTTTGGGTTCCTGGTTCTGGCCTTGACATCTCATGGCAGCTGTGCAGTGCTCAACACACCTGTAAGCCTGTTTTAATATTAATAATAATAATAATAAAATCCAGTATAACAGATCCCACAGTCTCATTTGATAATCCCGTGTTTGTCTAGCTTTCTTGATACTCTTCATCTTTGTTTAACCCGAATAACCCTTTGTTAAATTTAGAAGTGGCTTACCTCTTGATTACTACGTTTCCATTAGCTGCATCTCTCTCTCTCCCTCCCCCCCCCGCTCCCATTTTCTATTTTGTGCCTGGGAGGTTTGTGTAATCTAAAGTTTCATAGAAAGAAGTAATCTGTAATCCAATTAGATTTCCTCTAAGCAGCTGTAGAGTCGTTCAGCTAGCCTACTGCAGGTATTGTTTTTGCTCTGGGTGAGATTGGAGTTTGCAGGTGCTTTGAGCCATGGTATAAGCTATGGGTTCACGTACAGTTGGTAACCAATGTTAAGGTAGTGCTGATAAGACAGACAGAGATGTGAATCCGACATGTGTGGATCAGACAAAAGTTTGGGCCAAAGATATAAAAGGAAACAGTGAGAATGGCCTGTTGATACTTGCTGTCAAACTTAGTCTCAAGAAAGTTGGTATGGCATGGTGCTTAGAATGTTGGACTAGGAGGAATTTTAGAAGGATGTTGGATAGAAACTAAGAGGTTTTTAGCTGTAATGCCTTAAGAGACATGAAAAATGGTTTGCAACTGGGTAAAAGCTTAATGGTAAGGATTTGCTGAACTAACAAATTGAACTGGAATACAAAAAAGGGAGGTACGAGGAGGTCCGGGGAAATAAGTATAGGGAAGATAGGTTATGGAAAATTAATGTCTTTTTAACTGTTTTATTTGGTATGTTTTTTTTCTTATTTTTTACTTTTTTGGTTATACTTTAAAAACTTTACTCTTTTTCTTTTTGTATTCTGTATCTTTTGTATTTTTTGAAACTTTAATAAATATCATTTAAAAAAAAATAGAATGTTGGACTAGGACCTCTGAGATTAGAGTTTGAATTCCCACTTAACCATGAAGCTCATTGGGTGACCTTGGGCCAGTCCCCAACCCTTAGCCTAATGGACCTCATATGGTTGCGGTGAAGATCAAATTAAGGGGAGATGAGATCAAGGAGCAGGCTTTGTCCATGTTTGGGTAGAATTGGGTGCCATTTTAAATCAAGATGGTGAACCTTTCAAGACTGCACTGATTCTAACCACAGACTTCAAAACTACTGCTTTTTTTGGTATGAGTTTGCTAGGACATAAATAATAAGTAGGTTCTTATTGCAGGTTGAATGTTAAACAAGTATTGGCCGAACACCCAGGGCCGTCTTAAGCATATCCAGTGCTGTGGTGCAAAGATCCCTCCTGTGCCCCCCCTTTCCCATAGTTGTTGACCTTTTTTTAAGGGGGGGGACCCCAAAGTTGTTGACCTTTTGACCTTTAAAAAGGTCAAAAGGTCTTAAATTGTCCAAGCAAAATGGCATAGCTTAACCTGGCACCAATGCTGAACTTAGATATACCTCAGTCAGTAAAGCACGATACTCTTAATCTCAGGGTTGTGGTTTCAAACCCCATGTTGGGCAAAATATTCCTGCATTGCAGGGGGTTGGACTAGATGACCCAGAACTCTGTGAATGGTTCTGTTATTCTGCTGTATCTGAAGGGCTGTTCATAGGAAAGATGGAGCAAATTTGTTTTGTGAGAGATGCTTGTGCTATGATTCCTGCACTGGAGGCGGTTGGTCTAGAGGACCCTCGGTGGTCCCTTCCAACCGTCCAGTTCTGTGATACTATGATTAAAATACTCCAAGAAATAAATAAACGGGCTTCTCTGTGGCAGTCACTGGAAAGGGCTCTAGGGGCGGCCATTCCACAGAAAGTTTGGAATGTGCCCTGTAGCCCAAGCCCCATTCACCAGGCGAGAGCCGGTGAGCCGAAGGAGTGCTCCACAGTGGCATCAAGGCTGCCCAGAAGAGCTTGTGTACATGACTGCACGCCTGAGGGATCTAGGCAGGTTGAGGTGCGCACAGGCCGGCCGCACCTCAACGCCTCCCGCTTAGAGCCCGAGTCCCGAGGTGGCGGCGGGCGGCGGAGGCTGCAAGGCCGGGTGTGCAAAAAAACAAGCATCACTGTGCGATGCTGAAGCCAGCCAACGGGGCCTCGTGAGTAGTGCGCTGCTGGGCTGGCCCTACACCAATGGCACGCAGGGGGCGGAGCCGAGCAGCCGCCTCAGTGCCTGCGCCGCTGAATAAGCAGAGCGGGAGCCGTCCCCAAAAGAGCTCTGCCTGCCTGCTGCTAGGCTCTCTCGGCTCTTCCTTGTTCAACTCCGGACTCCCCGCAGCACCCTCTGCAGTGGGGAGTGTCCTGATTCAGTGCGCCAGCTGCACCACTGGTTAGAGACGGGCCTGCAAACACCTTTAAGAAACCCTGCACTGTTAAGTAGGAAGAAGTCAAGTTATGCTCCTTCAGTTCAGCATTCTTAATGCCCCACACTGAAAACCAGCACTGAAATTGGTGATCTGCTCCACTGAACTAATAGAAAAAGCAACATATGTGTACACAGTCCTTTGGGCATTCAAATGTGCTCTTCTGGACTGAGACTATCAGCTTTGATTTGTGTGTGTGTGTGTGTATGTGTGGTTTCTTCCCTCTGCAAGTGTTTTGTGGCTATAGCTACTAATTATGCTGCCACCCCCACAATGCCACAACACACCAAAACACGAAGCGGAAAAGTTTTGAGGTTTTTGTTGTTGTTATCTTCTAATGCTCCCACCCTTGCAGTGAAGCCATGTGTGTGTCAGCTGCAACTCTGAAGGCCCCCAAAATATTGGAGTGACTCCTACACCATCCCTTTTCTGCACGCTAAACACCTGCTACTACTTCCGACTCTGCACTGTGAGTCATAAGTGAGACAATTCCCTAGGTTGATAAAAGAGATTTTTTTTTTTTCCAAATTGGCGTTCCTTTCTCATAAATCTAGTTCCAGCAATCTGTTGGCTTGGATACTGTCCCTGGCTTTTTAATGTGGGATTAAGAGGTGTTAGAGCCAAACTTCTTCCTTCAGATCAGTCCAGTAGAGAGCGTTTTTATGCATCGTACCTTGTAAACGAAACTGCCGATTTACCTAGACTTCCTTCTTTGTACTCATTTCAGCAACTGAATACTGAGTTTGCTAGCCCCAACAGTTAAACCACATGTATACCAAAAATGAACTCCTAAAACAATTTTCATTTGCGGTGTGGTAATGCAAATTGTGGCATGTTTATTCTCAGAGATGTTAGAGAGCTGTGCTGCCTGCTGCGCTACCTGGTAATTCTTCCCTCTGCATTCTTCCCTGTCCTATATAACCTTGGGTTTGGATAACACAGTAGACCAATTAGCATGAACAAGCAAATGTGCAGGCTGCTAGAGAGGAGATGGCGGCCATTGTTCTGCTGCTGTGCTGAGTGCAAATGCTGGTTCATGGTCTAGCTTTCTCCATGCAAACCACGAGCTGTAAACAAGGACTGTCCTGTTGTTTATGCAGCTCATGGTTTCTCTGGGAGGGCAAACCACACACCCTCGGACACCACATTCAGCTAAACCATGGCTTGGCTTAACACAGCAGCCGGCTGAGTGGGGGGGATAAAGCAGCTGTAATCTCATCTCCAGGATTCTGCACATTTGTGTCAAGAAGGATGTAGTGCTTTGGCTGTTAATTGAGGTTTATAGTGTGTACGTGCAATTTTGGTATTTGAACTGTATTACAGTGGAACCTCAGTTTTCGAAGATAATCCGTTCCGAAGACTATTCGACTTCTGAAATGTTCGAAAACCGAAGATCAAAGGGCTGTCAGCAAGTTCCATTGAAAAAATGCAGAAATGTGCCTTGGAAGCCATTCAATTTCCGAGCCACGTTCGAAAACGGAAGTAATTACTTCTGGGGTTTCGGCGTTCGGGTTCTGAATTGTTCAGGTTCCGAGATGCTCGAAAACCGAGGTTCCACTGTATTATTATTAATTGTAAGTCACCTTGATATTTTCCATAAAAGGCAATGAACAACCTTTGCATGGTTGGGCCTGATATGAGTTTTAGTCCAGAACATCTGGAGAGCTCAAGGTGAAGGCTGTTGTACTGGAAGAAGCACTTACTTTTTCCTCAATCTATCGCCAATCCAGTGATCCTCGCACCTGCTATTATTATAAGTGAAGGAGAAATCTACCTAGTCCCACCCACCATTCATATAGTAATACTTTACAGTTAATTGCTTTATTTTTCACTGATGACAGTAAACCAAGGAAGGATTTATAGGGCAATTAATGGCTAGCTATAAATAAAATGCTTGGTTGCAAGTTCATTGGGCTGTAATAAGATGCATGCAAGTGCTCTCTGGTGACTGGGTTAATTAATTTGATTTTTTTGGGGGGTGTTGTTGTTCATGGGTAAAATTTTGCTCCCCCTTATGTTGAACCCAAGTCACTTAAGTCCCCAAATAAGAAAAAGATGTGGGAGAAAAATGAATGATGACGAATATAAGTTTTGGGAAGGAATGAACTGGAAAACCGACTTCAATTCAATCAATTTCATGGGGTTATTCATTTATTTCCATGCCTGGTAATACTTATCACTGGATAAACCTTTTCTGAGTTTGCTTTATTTGCCACAAGTCCTGTTTGCACTTACAGGGGAGTAAGTCCCATTGAGCATAGTGTGGCATTCTTATGAGTAAACCCAGTGCCACTTTTACTGGTTAGCAGCATTGCACACTTCCTCTCCAGTTCTTCTTCCGCACAATAAAAGATGTACAACAGTTGTGCTTGCTTGTGTCAAGGATTGCCACAACCTGGCTTGGGAGTTTTGTGTGTTATTTACAAAACTTTCCTGTCCTCCCTTGGAATGCAAGTGCTCGCTGGGATGGTGATGTTAAATGGATGCTCAGGAGATGGCTGAGCAACCCTCTCCTAGGTAAACAATAGTGCTAGAAAGGCCCTCAGTATTCTTAAAGCAAAACAGCTGCCTTTTCATCTTTATACTTACACTCCACATCCAGGTCATGTGTTGCTGTCCATTTGGTATATATTCTCATAGAGAAGCCGTTTTGTTTATAAAGGTTTACTAAACACTTGGAAGTTAATTCCTCTGCGCAACACATTTCTTTCTCCTTAGCCTCTCTGCATAGATTAGTTTTACATGGAAGGAGGGTGCATTTCATAACGCCTCATTCTTTAAGTGGGAACATGGAAGCTCTTTTTGTTTCGTTCTTCCAGCCAACTGGGCACTTTATTGCTTGATGGTCTTCACGGTGAAAAATCCATGCCGTTTTACACTGAAATATGTAGTCACTTAAGGGTGTTACACTAGATTCGACTGTGTTTAAAAATATATCCATTTGGCATATGCATTTGGACCACAGGTTCAGTTGAATGTGTCAACACCTACCAGTTAGTATTATGCTTTGGGGCAAAATGTGGGCAGGTCTGATTACAATGTGGGCGCCTTTCATTGAATTGCGCTTTGACAAAGGAGAGGATGAAAGTCAAGTGGGGAAGCCTAATAAGATTGATTCTGTTCATGTTGTTTGTGCGCGCACACGCTTGTAGGATTGCACCTTGGAAAAATGGCTCCCATCCCACTAGGTGTGTTTGGGAACGGGACCATCCCCTCTTACAAAGCAATAGCAATGTCTTGTTCCCATACAGTCTCATAAAGCAAGCTTTACTTTTCTCAGTGATATACATTATACTTGAACCCTCCTCATATAGTGGAAGGAGCCTTAGATCAACCTGTTGTTGGGGAAAGTTGCCTTAGATAATTCAAGAGCATCCTCATTGTGATGCCTTCATACTCAGACTGCTAAGAGCATTACAGGTAAGTGAAGTATACTTTGCAGTTTCCTTCAGAACCCCTTTTGGAGGTGTTGTGTTCGTCAAATGTTGACCAGGTCTAAGCTTCTTGTGATGGGGCAAGGGTGGTATTTAAATGTGTGTGCACGTGTGTGTTTCTATGTTGTTACCTATCTCAAGTTTTGGAATGGGCTACTCTTCAAACCTGTCTTCTGGGCTCAGTATGTTCTTTGTTCTTAGCCCTCACCATGTTTAGGATATGGCATCCCTGGTCATGCGACAATCCTCCTGAATTTTGCCCCCCCAGTAGATTCATCTACTCCCCATATGTGGCACTTTGTTTCCTTTAGGGAGAGAATTCCGCTTTAGCAATTAATTTATTGGATTTCCCATCTGTGGATGGAGGGAAGACAGATAATTGGCTTACTTGCATGACTGATAGAAGATACACAATACCTACATGATCCTGATTGTACGAAGTACTGTGGGCATCCTAGACAGAGGTGTAGCAAGGTCAGGTGGTACCCGGTGCAAAAAATGTTTTCTCACACCCCCCCATTGCAATTTTTTTTGCCCAGAGTTGTTGAGCTTTCTTTAGGGAAGGTTGGCCACAAAACCGCCCATTGGGGATGCAAGCACCGCCCACTGGGGGGGGCAGGGTGATCGCTGGGAGTATTTGCACGATCAGCGGGTGGATTTTCATGGCGACAATCATGCCAATTGCGAAAATCCGCCTGCTGGGGGTGTGAGCATCGCCATGCCAATCCGCCCAAGGGGATTTTGTCACCCCCCTAGGCATGACACCCAGGGCGGACCGCACCCCCTTGCAACGCCCATGGACCTAGAGAGGATGGATGCCTTCTGCCTGTTATCACACTGTCAAGCAAGGGTTGCTGTATTTTCCTTTTGCATATGTGTTCTTAGAAATAAAGCCAAAAAACAATTTAGGAATCATTCATGAGGTTTCCCCCTCTATTCCAGTTACCAATTCCCATTCTAGCTTTCTCATGTACAGTGAAGACCATGCGCCAGCAATCCCAGGATTGAAATGCTGTAGCATAATAATTCTAGTGGGCGGTGGGAATGTATAAACGAACTAATAGCACCTGCATTTTAAGCTGAGGAAACTTTTCAAAAACATTTTGCAATGTGGAATAGGGGTGGAACAAACACACCTAGAATAAGCTCTTTGGATCCCAGCCAAAGTCTCTTGACACCTGTCACTGACAAGCGTTGGTACACAAGCAGTATTGTTGCACTCAGAGGTGGGGAACCCTTTTACGTTCTGCGGGTCACATGTCAGTGATGGGCAGGGCAAGAGATGTGACTCTTTCGTGGAGTAGGCACATTCCATTCATGCATAAAAGCCAGAGGATTCTTACCCCCCCCCCATCTCTTCATCCTCCATCCAGGCAACTAAGAGCCATCATCACAATCCAAAGTAGGTTCCAGCCAGGCAAAAATGCTCAAGGAAGGCATGGATCAGGGCTGGTGAGAAGTGTGGTCTGGGAAGGATGTTTGGCCTGGGGAGGGTCCCAGCAGCCGGATAGAGAGGCCTGGAGCAGTGCATTAGGTGCTCATCCCACCGATATATGTAGGGAGGTTTTGGAGCATGCCTTCCAACATAATGTATGTGTCTTGGACATTTTTATTACCTGAGGCCTGTAGATTTGTGCCATTTCTGTGCGAGCCAGTGCTGCAAAGGAAGACCATTTGCAAACAGGAGAGAAAAAAATAGGGAGGCACAGCGCTGATTCTAAGCCAGAAACGCCCAAAGAGGTGAACCTCACAAAGTGCCGAAGATGCAGGAATATTTAGTTACAAAAGCATTTTGCTTTTCTACTGCAATGCAGGATGTGTTTCGAGTTTCACAAGTTTTTATCAGAAGCTGCGGTCGCTTCTTGGCTCCTGAATTGAGGAGTTTGAAAGTGGCCATGGAGACATAATTGTCATGTGTGAAATGCATTAAGACATAATGGTAGAAAACTGGAGTACTTTTGTAAATACAGTGGTACCTCAGGTTAAGTACTTAATTCGTTCCGGAGGTCCGTACTTAACCTGAAACTGTTCTTAACCTGAAACACCCACTTTAGCTAATGGGGCCTCCTGCTGCCGCCGTGCCGCCGGAGCCCGATTTCTGTTCTCATCCTGAAGCAAAGTTCTTAACCTGAAGCACTATTTCTGGATTAGTGGAGTCTGTAACCTGAAGCGTATGTAACCTGAGGTACCACTGTAAAATTATCTCCCCCAACTTCTTGTAAGGTTCATCATTTTGCAGGTTTGTTGTTGTTTCTTGTTTGAGCAGTTTATACAGAATGTTCTGTGTGCTTGTGGGATGGAAGAGGTGGCAGCTGTGCAAAAGTTCAAATCGGGGTTGTGCTTAAATCACCACCAGATTTAGGTTCGGAGGACCCAGGAAGGTGCCTCTGGTGCAGGCCCCACCAACTTTAGTCTGGCCCCCCACCTGCCTGCCTTCCTATTTAAATCTTATCCAGGGGGTGGCCCTGGCTTGTAGTAGACTTCCTCCTACTTGGTCTCAGTTTTTGCCCTTGTGCAACGAAGGAGGAATGGGGACAAAAGTAGAGTAAGTTGGCTCTGGCTCCAGCTAGTGCTCTCTGCCTCCCCCACCCCCAGTCCTAACAGGGCAAAACCATCCACTGCTGCTGAGTTCCTGCTGTTTCCTCCGCAAGGAGGTATCCTTTCCATTTTGAGTCCAGCTACCCTGTTATTGCAGGGTGCTGTGAGAGGTTGGAAAGTGGCTGGATTCATCCTCCCTTCTTTCTGTGACTTTCTGCCTTCCAAAATCAAGTGAACCCATGAAAAAGATGAGCCCATCCTGGGCAGGCTAAGAAGAAAGTCAGAGTGGGGGAATGAGATCCCTCTGCGCTTCTGGAAATGGTTAGGGTGTGTGAAAACAAACTGTGGTTGTTGTTGTTTTTTAGGTCTTCTGCAACTTTGCTGGTTTTGAGGAGAAAGAGAATACCATTGGTGTTTCTGTCTCGCTGTTGCTTTCTTCTGAATGCTGTTAAGAGCATGTGTTAACGTTTCCCCTTTTTCTTATTGATTTTGTTTTCCTTTTAGCCCCACTCATAAAGCTGCCATCTTCGAACCAGGCCCTCACGCTGAAAGAGATTTCCTGTTGTTTTAAACGGATTCTTCTTTTCCCCACCTACTAGCGATTATTTTTAAATCGTATCTTCCTGGCTTTCAACCAAGCGGAGTCTGCTTCTTAATGAGCTCTGAGTAGATATTGATGTTTAAGGCTTGCTAGAATAGTAAGGCCAGCCTCCCACATTTCCATTGATTTGTTGGGGATCTGTGTAGGCCTTGATCTTCCTAACTTGCATATTTCATTGACGCCGGACCCTTCTGCTGAATTATGCATGTATTGTGAAGTCAGGCATTGTGGCCCATGTGGTGCATTTTCTGTTCAATGGAATAATTGAATCATTTGGCATCCATTTTCATTTTTGCGTATTGCATTCTCGTTTTAAAATAACAGTGAATTGAATTCAACCCCGTGGATTATATTCAGAGTATGTAGCTGTTACTTTAAACCAGACTAATGTCACTTGGAGCCATTTTACAGACTTTATGAGATGGGTGGACCGTAAGCTCCCTGGAGCAAGGCCATCTCGACATTTTATATGTTATCATAGCTCCAGCCATGCTACTGGCACTCGGTCAATGATAATAAAGATAAGTAATGTTCACACATGATAGTTGTTTGGTCTTTATTATGTTTCAAGTGGGCATTAGTTTACACAAATTCACTGCCGTAAAGCGTTCTGTAATTTGATGCAATGTGCTCTCTGGCTTTGGCAAAAGACCAATATTGGAGTAGAAGAACCCATGGGCTATATGAAGACAGATTATTCCAGACACATTTGTTGCTGAGGGTGCCACTCTTTTTTATATAGACAGAGACCTTTGCCCCGACAGCTGTGGAAATGGCAAAATTCAACAGGTGTAGCCTTTTCCCCATCATGGAGATGAACTGATGGGAGACACCTAATACTACATGTGACTGTTAAATGTTTCTTTGCATCTAATAGGTTG